TTCGCTGCCCCGGGATGTCTGGAGCCGTGCAGCCCTACCAGGGCACCGGGGTGATGTATGTCTGGCACCCCCTTTCCCTGCTCCCATCCAGACCAACACCGTTCCCGGGATCCCGTCGCCCGAGGAACCTCGGGTCCCTCCTGTCACCCAGGAAACAGCCTTGCCAGCATCCTGAGTAGGGAATATGAGCAGCCTGCGGCTCCGGGGACAGGCACCCCCAGGAGGAAACCCAGGACGGGGGTTATTTGCTCCCCTGGTGCCTTCTCTGGGAAGGAGACGTTCCTGGACAAGAAACTACCTGCACGCTTTCTTTTCTTCCCTCGCTATTCCAACAAGAGCGACAGGGACAGGGCCCGGATCTTTTGGACACTTTGTCGCCATGCTGGGCAAGCCCCTCTGGCGCTTGTGGCCACCTCCCAGGACATGACTAGGCAGAAGTTTGCCTCCTCTCCCCAAAACCCTTTGCCAGGCTGGGCATTGCGAGGGAGACAGATCTTGCCCACTCTCTCCCTCAGCGTGGATCTCATCTTTCCTTTAGCCCTTTCTGGCCCTGTTGCACCCTTCCTGCTGGTAATGGCAGAGCTGCCCCGTGCTCCCTGGTGGCCCATCATGGACAAGAGTCGGGCAGCCCCACCCTTCTTTCTTTCCAAAATAATGACATTGGCTTCAAATCAGGGAACAGTTCTTGTCATTTTTCTTAAATAAAAGCAGCACTGTCTTCTGTCTGACCTGTTTTCAACCCCTCTGATTGTGCTGTGGATGGATTTTTCTTTTCTTTGGAAAGCCCAAGGCTAGGGAGATACTTCCCAACCTGAGAAACAGCTGGCGTTCTCCTGTGCTGGTAGCTGGGCTCTGCTTGGGCATTTGGAGACTCCCTGCTTTATCACAACTACCTTGAGTAACCTCCAAGGGTGGTTTGACGTCTGCCACAACTTGCAGAGTCAACAGAGGGGCCGGAAGAATTGCTACAATGCAGCTGGGTGGCTTGTTAATGCAGGCGCTGTCTGTCGAAATACTCAGGTGCCAGGATCCCAGAGCCCAGGCTTTTGGTGAAACAGCACCAGAGACAATGCTCACGTTGAAATCACAGGTGACACCAAGATGCTTTCACTGTCTCTACTGCTGGGCACCACCTCCTGCTTCCTAACACCCTAACTCCTGCGATCTGAGCACCTGCTGCTGCTCTTCAGCCTGGACTAGGCCCCCATGAGACATCCCAGCAAAGAGCAAGGCATCCAGTAGAGATCCTAATCAGCAACCCATCCCTGGTTCACCCTTGAGCCGGGATGGTGGCCAGCGGTGGGAGCCCTGGGTGTGGCGGGTGGGGATGGGAGCAGGCGTGCAGCGGTGGGCAGCAGCCCTGGTTCCCGCAGGAGCCAAGCCAATGTGCCCTTGCAGCCAGTTCCCAGAGCTGCTGGACGGAGCAGCAGCGGCCCTGGGAGTGACCTGATGAGTGAGCAGAGGAAAGCTGATGGGAGGAGGAGGAGAAGGGCTACCGGTAAAAGTGGTTTGTTTATTCACACGAGGGGCGTACCCATCTCAGCGGGTCAGTCTGTTTTCTTTCATAGAAGAGAAATGAACTGAAATGATTAATTAATGCTGTGATCCAATTACTCTGAATTTGCAGAAGGAGCATGGTTTTTCTCTTTTAACTGTCCCCACGAGCATCCCATTGATGTCAGGTTTTGTCATGGTTGGGGTTTTGTTGTTTTGTTGTTTAAAATTAAAATGACAAATATCTCCCCAGGAAAAAAAAAAAAGAAAAGAAAAAGAAGGAAAAAAGACAAAAAGACAAAAACAGGGAATAAAAATAGTGAGATCAGGAGGAACAGCTGATGCAGAGCAGTCTCCAGCACACCTTTGTGTTGATCCCTTCTCTGCCTGCCCTGCTGAGCCCTGACCAGCAGCATCCACAGAGGTGAAGAGGTTTGGTGAGCGCCTAGCCGAGGTGGCAGACACAGCTCTGCAAAGGCAGAGGGGAAGGCAATCATGAGAGAGGGAAATGAAAGCTGTTTGCAAGGGGCTGCTGCTTTCTGCATAAACACAGCTCCTCTTTCCACATGGACAGGCACGCAGCAAGTGTTTATGTGTGCAAGCTGACCCCTTCTCCTTAGCACACTAAGTCAGGGCTTCGATGGGCATCTTGCGGAGAAGTGAGCATTGTCCTTGAGCCAGTTGCTCCTCAGTCTGACATGGGTCTATGCCCTTATTGCTCTCCAGAAAGCCAAGAGAGGAGGTTTGCTTTGCATTTCAGCATCCATTCTGAGCTGGCTCTAAAACTGCATGTTTAAAAACATGTTTGGGGGAGATGCAAGAGCGCAGGACCAGACACGGCAAGGAAATGGAAGTTTTGGACCAGATCATTCCCATATACTTCCTTCCTCTCCTCTCTTCACTCCCAGCCCATTCCCTGCTGACTGCTCTTTAGCCTGCCAAGCACCAGCACCCACCATGAGTGTGCCAGGTACCAGCGGTGCGGCAGGGCTCCACACCTGGGCAGTGTTGAAGCCTCTTAAGCTTGTGATTGGAACCATGCCAAATCCATCCTTCTTCTGAGGGATTTGTGCAACCAGTCAGAAAACAGACACCAGTTTTTAGGAAGACTTGTGTGCTCTCCTGCCCAGGGCCCTGGCAGACCAGGAGGAGAGGGCGGGCCTGAATGTGTGGCTGCTGTCCAGCTCACAGCCCAGTGGAGGAGTGTGCCAGCCTCGACCATCCCTGGGAGCACAACCCACCCTGACATCCTTTTAACCCTCTAGGCATGGCAGTCTTGCTGCATCCAGACCCTTGAACATACTGAGGGGGAACCTTGCCCTGTATTCAGACAAATTCATTTGCTGAAGCTTTGAGGAATTAGGCACTTCCTGGACAAATTAATCTGGGCCAAGACTGGTCAGGCTGGCCCATGACTCCAGTATCTCACTGGTGCATGAGCACGGGGCAAGGTGTCTCATATGGATCCTCCCCCTGAGGCATAGAGACCGAGTTTTATCAGGAGACTCACAACCCCTGATGTTGAACAGTCCCTGTTCCCCCAGCTTGAGACACCTGGGTGTTCTCACTCTGTGCCTGTTGGCAGCCATCCCAGCTTCCCTGCAGATCCATGCACTGGTCCTCTTGGGACTTGACTCTGTGCCAGGACAGCACCGTTTGACCTGCCTTCAGACGCCGAGTCCCCTGGCGCTGTGAGCACAGCAATGAGGCTCTGCTGGAGATGCTCCCCAGCTCCGCCCCTTGCGTGCCGGGCACAGCTGCTCACACCTTCGCCCCAGGGCTGCTCTCGGGACCCTCCAGAGATGCCTTCAGCCCTGAGGCCGCACGGCATGGAGGAGGAGCTCCAACAAAAGCTCAGTTTATACCTTGTATGATGTAAGTTTGCTGAGAAAATGAAGATCACCAGCCTGTCCAAGCCTGCAAATGCAATGGCTGTAGGCACAGTGCTTTGTCCCTCTGACAATCCCTGAAACTGTTGCGCGACGTCCTGCACATCAGAGCTGTGTGAGTCAGTGTCTCTTCTGCCTTGCTGTGACCCTGTCCCCATCGTGCCTTTATGTTCTGTGCAATGTGAGCTCCATTCCCACTCAGTGCATGAAGCAGTGGCAGGGATGCCCAAGTGCCCTGTTCCCTTCCCACCTTCTGCCCCAGCATTGGGCAGGTTGAAGTGGGTGGCTGCAGAGGAACCTCTCCCACCTGTTCCAGTGACTCAGAGAGAGCTGGAGAGGGATATGGGGAAGCACAGGGCTGTTTTAGTTGTCTTCATGAGTCTCAAAGAGAAGTTACATCCCAGGTCGGTTGGTGAAGGAGGGGCAGCAGCCAGGAATGTTGTCCTTTAAAGGCAGAACTCAGCGCAAACCATGGAGCTCCTGGAGCGCAGCAGGCTCGGCCTGAGATGTCGGCATGTTACTGAGCTATTGAGGGTGGCTGTGCTTCTCCAGCCAAGAAAGCCAGGCAGAGAAGCAGAAGTTGGTTTGCACTGGCCAGTTAAGGGGTTAATAATTCAGCCTCTTTAAGCAGAATTAGATTGATTTGTCTGTGGGAAACTCAGCTGCAGTTGTGCAACACTGAGGTCTGAAAACATGAGTCTGCAGACACGATGTCCCGGGCCCCTGCATCCGCTCCAGGTCACAGAGCAGCTCTCCAGAGGCCTCCATGGCGCCATGCTTCACTGACCCCACGCTTGCAGACCCTCCCAGTGTTGATGTTAGCTCCCAGGTCCCGGGCAGCGTGGCAGGCTGGCTCTGCTGAGGAGGGATGAAGATCCTTGAGGGATGTTTGCATGACCAAGATGGGAAGGAGAGTGCCCGGCATCTCACAGTCTTTAGTGCCTCTGGGGTAGCTTGGATCCCTTCTCTGCTGACATTTACATCATGTGCAGTCGCAGATAAAAAAGTGCCAAAATGTACACATGCCAAAAAAGTGCATGCATGTGTACAGAGAGGAGTGGAGAGCAATGAAACCCTGCTGGCATTTGTCTTTGCCTGAAAACAGGCATGAATTTCCTGGCCTCAGACCTGCCTTTCTGCAGCACTCAGGAGCAGTGTCTAGCATGGTGGTCTCTACACTTCTTGCAGAGCTCAGATAACTCACCAAGGCCCATAAGTGATGCTCAGCTCATGAAACCCTCTGCTACTATGTGCTACTATTGCAGTCCCAGGCAATGAGGTGGCTAAAAGCCCTGCCCTGTGCTGTGGGGCGCTGCCTGAAGCGTTAGTGTGGGGTGAGCAGCACCGCATCCCTGACTGCCCGAGCTGCATCCCCACCCTACGGCTCATGGGGACCCTGGGGGAAAAAAGGGTGAGTGTAGAGTGCTGTGGGTCTCTGCACGGAGGTCAGCCCTTGCTTTATTCAGGCTGGGGATCACCCTCCTGCAGTGGCAAGGGTGGCTCCAGGCAGAGCTGGGCTGAGCCAGAGAGCTGCAGCCCAAAAAGGTTTCCAGCTCCAGCACAGCTCCCGCTCTGCCCAGCAAGGAGCTGCTGGGAGCCTCCAGAGGAGGCAGCAGGGAGAGGTTTGCAGGCAATGTCTCTGTGTGAGGCCTCTCCTTCTCAGAAGATTTTCTTAGGACTTTTCTGTGGAGGAGATAGGTAATGCCTCTCTGGCAGACTGAGACTATTCCCACCTCCTTCCTCTCTGTCCCTCCCTTTCTCTGTTGCCACCATGGATGGGGATTTCCTAACTGCTCTCCTCCCTTGGCACCCTGACCCCCACATTTTCCATTCTGCTTGTCCGTGCCCTGGGCTCTCCTGCCACCTTCTGCTACACCTCCTCTTCTTCACTCTCTTTGCTCAGCCATCACATCCAAATCCTCTGGCAGATCATGTGGCCAAACGGGGTCTAACATTTTCAGCTTCCTTTTTCATTAGCACCTCAAAGATTCCCATCTTCAATCTGCCCCCAAGACTAGGGCTCTCATATACACATCCATACAGCAGGATTCTTGCTCCTGCCTGATTTTCTGCCCTTGGCTCAGGGCATCAGCTGTTTTCTCTCACCCATTGCTTAGCTGGCTCATTTGTCCTCTCAAAGCCTTGCAGAGCTTCACACTGCTCCATGGGGCAAGGGGCTCTTGTTTCCATTGTCACATCTTTAAAGTTTCAGGCGAGTACCTTGCTGTTTGCTCCCTGCAGTGCCTCAGCTCTGGGATGAGTTACAGAGAGACGTGTTCCCCCTGCCCTCCTGACACCCATGCCAGAGCAGCACTGCATCTCTGACTGCCCAAGCTGCATCCCCACCCTACGGTTCATGGAGACCCTGGGGGGCAAAGAGGGTAAGTGCAGGGTGCTGCAGGTCTCTGCATGGGGGCCAGCCCCTGCTTTGTACAGCACCAGCCCTGGCACCTGGGACAGGCCAGGGGAGGCAGATCTCCCAGGATGCCAGGACCTGGCATGGGAACCTGTGGCTGTATGGGGCCGTGGCAGGGTGAGGGAGCTTCCCTACAATTGGCTTCCCCAAAAGAGCCAAGTCCTTCCCCCTTGCCATCCCCTGGGGCAGGGGGAGCTGCTCTTCTAAGCAAACAGCTCTTAGGTGTTGCAGCACTTGCCTCTCTATCCCTCCTCCACCATTCTCTCTCCCACGGGCATCTGGTCCTGGCCACTAACCTCTCCCTGGGAAGAGCCCAGCTAATCCCCTCCTTCCTGGATGCTGGCTGGTCCCAGAGCCCTTCCCGGCAGTGGGACCTGTAGCTGCAGCGGGGCTATTTCTGCGGCGCTGCCTTGAAACAGCTGGGTTCTGTTAAAGCTTCAGCCCAGGCATATAAAAGAACATGAGCATCTCTCTGAGGCAGAGAGCATTAATGCAGTGGATGGGAGGGGAGAAGTGTGGCTCCAGCCCAGGCTCAGCTGGAAGCCCAGCACCTTTCTGGCTCAGCGACATGGGCTGAGCTTTGCCACCAGCAGGGAGCTGCAGCCCTGGGGTGGCCGAGGGGCACTGGAGGGAGGGCACCGTGTCCCCCTCGTCCCGCCCCGCCATGCCGCCGTGCTGAGCCTTCTCCCCCCGGGATGTTACCATCGGAGCCGGCGTGGGAGCTGCTGGGGAGCCGCCGGTGCCTGGGAGCTGCAGGCTGGGCACAGCAGGGTAAGGCTGGGCTTTGGCTTGCGTGGCATTTGCCATGCACAATTGCTAGTAGCGTTCCACTCATAGGTTATTTATTTGGCCTAATAATTGGGTGACAGGTGGTTAATTAATTGTCAGAGTGACCGGTGTGCTGGTAGGCTATTTATAGGAGTGACCTTTCAAGTACTTTTTAAAAGAACATTTCTCACTGGCTTGCTTCTTGTCTGGTAATGCTGTGGATAAATGGCGTGCGGCCCCTTACAGTCTGCAAAGGGCACATTAGGGATACAGGCAAGTGCTTGGGGGGCAGTTTGGGCAGGTGGTAGAGCCGTACCTGCTGTGGGATGCTGGTGAGCCTGCTGGGCTGGGCACTACCTGCAGGAGCAGCTCAGCAGCCACGGCTCCGACCTGCGAGCGCTTCCCACAGCCGGGGGAAGCCACCTTGGACGCCGTGCCTCGGCTTTGCTCTGAAAGCCAGCATTAACCACGTAGGTACAAGCAGCAGTGAAGGCAGGGAGGCTCCTGGCTTGCTTGTGGGGATGGTGGGGTTACCCAACTGCAACACTCCCTTCTGGCCCTGAACACAGCAAATTTTCCAAACCTGATGCACAAACATGTGTCAGGCACGGGGTGGGGGGGTCCTCTGGCCCCATCACCTCCCCTTGAAAGCTGGCTGCTCCTGTGCCACTGAGCTTACTGCTTCTCCAGTGACTCCAGGAAAAGCTATCATAGGTTCTTAACTTGTGGGGATGGAGGAAATTGCTTTGCCTCATGAGGACCAGTTGAATAGACGAGGAAGAAAGAAGAATAAATTATTCAATGGAAAAATCAAATGCTCAGAACCACCCTATATGTACTGACAAGAAACAATTCCTGCTCCAGAATGGCTCAGATCTCCTCTGGAGCAGGATAAGGACTTCAGAGGGGTAAAAGCACAGCCACCAGCTGGAACTTGGAGGGCAGAGGGAGCCCTGACATTTTAACACAACAGATCCTGCTGGCCTCTCATATTTTTTTCTGTTTTTCTAGTTGTTTATTGCCTTCATCATTGCAATGCAGAGGCACAGGAGCAGACCAACACCAACCCTCCCCCTGCCAGACACAGGGCCTGCCCTCAGTCTTCTCTCCTATGTTGTATTTCTAAGGTGCCTTCCAGTATCTAGGAATTCTGTTTTCACACTCTGAAGGGTGTGAATCTGTCAACCAGAACAACCCCTCACTAGTTGTGAAATGGTGCCATGATTCAGGAACTAATTAACAGCTATTAGATAATGCAATTAGCGCCACAAACTGCCACCCTACACCCTAAGTATACCTTCCCTTTGTGAGCGTGAGCCATAAATGTCTAGCATCTTCTGTTCCCTCTCTTGCCTCCCTCCTCTCCTCTCCTCCTTGTGGTGGTGGCTGCACAAACTGCCCAGCCCCACATCACATCAGCAGTTTGACCTGACAGGATTAATCCCATTTAGACTTTTACCCTCCCTGCACTTTTAGGAAGGTCAAGACAAGCAGGGGGCTGGCAGTAGGCTGGCTGGGCTCTTTCCAAATGTGATACCAAAGGTGATGTGCCCGGGCCCAGCCTTTGGCACCCAGACAGAGCAGTGAGTGACGTGTGCCTTCTCCTGGAATGTGCCTGTGGTGGAGGGGGCCACCTTCCCTCCCTCCTGGAGAGAGGCAGCACTCAGAGTCCCACACGATCCATCCAGCCAGGAGCTGACAGCCACAGCCCCTCCATCCTGTCCCTGGGTTCAAGGTCGCTTTCAATTTTGCTGTTGCTCCAAACCCCTTTCCTCTGGGAGCAGCTCATGCTCATAGGTGTCTGCTAAAGCACGGTGTTCTCTGATTCCTCTCCCTGTACACATCTTCCTCCCCAGACTGGTGTGCAAGTGTGGGGCTTGCTTTATGATGGGTTCCTTGCAGAGCTCTGCTCATTCCCAGAGGCTTTGCTTCAACTGCATGTGAAGCAGACATGGCTTTGCCCCCCACTTGCACCTGCTCCCTTAGTATCCCCAGCCCTGAAGATGATGCTGGGGTGGGGGCAGTGTCAAAACTCTGGTGGTGACATGTGGGATAGGGGTTGTGGAGCAGAGAGAGGCTGTGCAGTACAGGGAGAAGAGGCAGGGAATGTGGGACAGCAGGGCTGCTTGCTCCAGGAGCTCATCCCACAGCTTGAGGTGCCACCATCACATGGGTGTGTGTAAATACCAGCCTCTCCCATTGCCTTTGCTGTGCTGGTGCAGAGAATGGCCAGCTCCTTCCACACAAGGAGCAGCAGGGGTGGGAAGGAGCTAAACCCTCCATCCCACTGAGCTGAGTGCTCAGCAGGTGCTCAGTCACGAACTGCAGCCGATGGAGCACCAGCCTCCAGCTACTGCAGATTCTTGGGTACAGGATGGTCACCAGCAGTACATGACAGGGCTTTCTCCTCTCCTATCTGGCAAGAGGCTGTGAGGCAGTTCATAGGAGCTGACAAGCTGGGAAGGCTTGCTGGAGAGGCATGAGGTGCAGCAAGGAAATAGCAGGGGTTTTCTGCTGTGGTCTCGAGTGTCACCCTGTGACGGAGCACTGGCTTTGCTCTTGCTCTGGAGTTGAATCCTCACACTAGAGGTGTCACACCCATGATTGCAGGCAGCAGTGGAGACCCTGCTGTGCCCACTGCCCACAGTAGTTGAGTCCCACCCAAATTATAATTTTCTCTGCTTGTATCTGTGGCTGTGTGGGAAGGGAAAGGTATTTCCCTTGGGGACCACTGCAGCAGCCACAGAAACTCTTGGACCAGAGGATGCTATCAGTAAAGAGTTGGAGTCTCCCAATGGCTTTGATGGAGAGGAAAAAACCAGCTGTAAATCACTGCCAAAAGTCTGAGGGAGTTTGCTGTAGCTGGCTGGTGCAACCAGGTGTGGGAGAGCAGCCATGAGCACTGCAAAGAGTGGTTGTGTGCAGGCTGAAAAGCCAACTGGTGTCACAGGTGGGTAGGGGTTCCAGCCCCAGGAGCCCTTCTGAAGTGATCTCTCAGCTTTGTCAAGGCCATATCTCCTCCCTGTCTGTGGTGTCATCATGAAAGTAGGGTGCAAAAAGCGATGGAGACAGAGAGGGTGATGTAGGATGGGGGCTGTGAAGGGAGAGAGAGAAGTGCACTCCTGGAGGTACAGGGAACAAGCACTGGGCACTGGAGTACATAAGGAAGGCATTTAGCGGAGAGACACCAAGTCCTGGAGAGGTCCCTTGGTGTCTGCTGTCACAGCATTGGGAGCAGTGATGCAGCTGGCATGAGGGTGGAGATGGTGTCACACTGGTGAGTTTGTTGCAGCTTCACAGCTCTCCTGTGTGCTCTCTCCATCTTTGGACACATGATAGGGATGCTAACAGAAATGTGACTGCCTGGGGGCTGTGCCCCCACCCAGGCCCTTCCCACGTAGCCTGGATGCTCTCTAATCCTAGTGCCCATACAGACATGATTCATGGCTTGGTCAGCTGCACACACACCTACGAAATTTGTAGCATCTTTGGCCCTTTCCCAGCTCCAGACTGGGCTGCCTCCTCTGCTGGAAGACAAAGGCAGTGCCAAGCGGTCCCAGTGAGTTCAGAGAAGGTGTTGGGGGCAGAAGAGTGAGACAGGGGGATAGAGAGCAGAAAGTGGGAAAGAAGGGATGCCTGGTGGTCTGGGGTATGGCAGAGAACAGCCAGGGGATCTGAGGTGAGGGTGAGTGTTGTACACAGCTCCCAGCTCGCACTGTTGCTCTGTCTATGTTGTTGTATGTTATCTTCACACCTTTAAGAATTTTCAGTCTTCCTCCTTCCCTCACACGGGGGGTTACTTTATTTTTGCTGTTAGGTGAAGGCTTATTTTCACAGCGCACAGCGTTTAAGCCCTGCGCCCAGTTGCCTCTGCCTCCTCACACCAGTTTGCAGCATGACCTCTGGGTGGCATCCAAAGGCTCTCCTGTGGGGCTGCCGCAGCCTTTCCTCCGGTCCTGGGACATGGACAGAACAGTTCGGGGCTGAGATGGACTTTTCTTACTTTGGGTGACTGAGAACACAAACCTCTGTCAAGGCTGATAATTAATTAGACACGCTTAGAAGAGGATGCCAGTTTATGAACAAAAGTGAGAAAACTGAAACCCACATTTTAGCAGAGACGATGGAAAGGTTTCTTTTCAAGACTTTTAAATTCTTCTTGGAAGATCTGGGGTAGATGTCTGCATGATTGCTAGCTTGTCTGATCAGTTTGATTAGCTGTTACAAGAATGACAGTTAAATCTCCCCATCTCACCAAAGTGAAGAAATTAAAACTCATTTCAATTGTACTGCAACCAACCCCCAAACTGCCATGATTATATATTTCTAAGCCCTTTTATACACTTATCACCTTTTCTCACATCCCTGGCTGGGTGCCCAGGAACGGATGGCAGCAGTAACCTCTTTCCCTCTCCCTTGATGCATCTTTGATGCATCCCTTGTGCCCAGAGCTGGGTGCAAAGACGGGCAGTGCTACCAGGCTTCCTCACCCCATCCATATCTGGCATGTAGCATCTACCAAAGGGCACTGCTTTCTTTTAAAAGCCTTTTGTCTTCACAGACACGCTGAGAGGATAATGGTAGAGTGGTATTTCTTTGTCCCTCACCCACTTCTTTCCCTTGTACCTGTAAGAGGAGCTCCACCACTATTGCAGCTGTAGCCTTGCTAAAGCAGAAGCTGCCTAAATGGCTGCATCAGACCCTGGCTTTAGCATCTCAGCAGCCACATTTTCATTTAATTACACCTGTATCTCTTTAGAAAGTGCTTATATTAAAAACTTGGCTATTTGCTGATGGCAGACATCTCCTACCTTCACCACAAATGAAAGACAAGGGCTTTTATTTTCGAATAATTAAAATAGACAAACTGATCTCAAGGCCTGCCAGACCCTGTTTGGAAGAGGTGCACGTTTCTGGCATGTTTATATATTCAGCAAAATCAGCTTCAGGACTCCATGGGGCTGAACTCCTGCCCTGGGCACCAGGAGGAGCTGCTGGAGGGGCTGCCCTTGATGGTCTGGCAGGGTTGGGATGCCCCCAAAAAGCCAGGGTGAGGCTGGTGAAGGCCCATCATCTTCTGGGGGCCTGGATGGCATAGGAGAGGCAGGTTCAAGGGGAAGCTCTTCTGTCCAGCCCAACTCCCTCAGTGCCTTTGCTTTTCCTTTGCCTTCCAGGAAATTCCTTTTCATCTCAACACATCACTTCTTGTCTATTGATGTTTTTTTTTTAAGGTCCATTCTACTCTTACCTTGGGTGATTAACCACAGGCATCTTGGTTTGGATGAAGGCAGTAATTCTGTCTGTAATTCTCATCACTTTTCATAACTAATTCCATGTATCACACTGAGGTGTCTAACTCCATACCATACATCTCCATGGCCTGGGTGGCTACAGCTGTACTGTGATGCGGGACTGGGGGAAGGGGCCATCCCTTCCCAGCATCACTGACTGATGGCACTTGTGCAGCTCCCTCCCCCTCCCAAGCCTGCTGTGCTGTGCATTGCGCCACACCAAATTACCCATCTTCAGCCTTTCTCGGCTTCTCAGCATCTGTATCTCAGCAGTGTCACCCTTTGGTCAGGGCCACCTCTGCTGGACCGGCTGGTGCCCCTGGTAAGATGCTGTGGGACTCACATAAGCTGTGGTGTAACTTGCTGTTTTCCTTCTCCCAGATTTCATCTTCCAGAAGGAGCTGTTTGCTGCAAGAGACACAGGTGAGCCGAGCAGACCACGGCACGCGTGTTGTGGGTTAGGCCCCTCTTGGGGAGTGCTTTGGCGAGGTCAGCGGGACGTGCCTGAGGCATACCATAAACCTGCTCTTGTCCCTGGGGCAGGGCACTGGCTCCATGCTGTGCTGTTCTGGCAGTGAGTGTTGTGTGTGCCGCCCCCCTGGGCTCTGCAGTCCTCTTTCCCCCAGCCCTCTGGCCTCCCTGTGTGCCTTTCTGGGGCACACGAGGTTGTGCTCCCATTGGGATATGCAAAGAAGGGACCATCACACCCTGGCCCTACAAAGAAGGGACCATCACATGCTGGACATGGGACTGTCCTAGCCCCATTCCTGCTTCTCTCCCTGCAGCTCATGTATCTCTTCTACTGCTAAACAGGGAGACAAAAAAATGCCTCAAACAGCCTACTGGAGTGGCAGAGAGAAGTCCAGGAATGTCAGGAGATTTTTTGAGCACTAGCCAACAGCAGTGCTGGCCTGGGAAACTGAGGAAATGCTGCCAGGACAGGCTGGCAAGTCTGATATTCTCGCTTTCTGTCCTCACTCTCCTTGCAGATCCCATGCACAACCTCTCTGCTCAGCCCTGGCAGGCAAAGATGGCCAACCTGACCTATGACAACTTCACCCTGGGCAACCACTCTGAAGTGGCCCTGCAGCCTCCCACCAACTACAAGACAGTGGAGCTGGTTTTCATTGCCACTGTCACTGGCTCACTCAGCCTTGTCACTGTGGTAGGGAACATCCTGGTGATGCTCTCCATCAAGGTGAACCGCCAGCTCCAGACTGTCAACAACTATTTCCTCTTCAGCCTGGCCTGTGCAGACCTCATCATCGGGGTCTTCTCCATGAACCTCTACACGGTCTACATCATCAAAGGCTACTGGCCACTGGGGGCCGTGGTGTGTGACCTGTGGCTGGCTCTGGACTATGTGGTGAGCAATGCCTCTGTCATGAACCTGCTCATCATCAGCTTTGACCGGTACTTCTGTGTCACCAAGCCCTTGACATACCCGGCCAGGAGGACCACCAAGATGGCAGGGCTAATGATTGCGGCCGCATGGATATTGTCCTTCATTCTCTGGGCTCCTGCCATCTTGTTCTGGCAGTTCATTGTGGGCAAGAGGACAGTCCCCGAGAGGGAGTGCTACATCCAGTTCCTCTCCAACCCAGCGGTGACGTTTGGCACAGCCATTGCTGCTTTCTACCTGCCTGTGGTCATCATGACGGTGCTGTACATCCACATCTCCCTGGCCAGCAGAAGCAGGGTAAGGAGGCACAAGCCCGAGAGCAGGAAAGACAGGAAAACCAAGTCCCTCAGATTCCTCAAGGGCCCCGTGGTTAAACAGAACAACAATAACTCTCCCAAGAGGGCTGTGGAGGTGAAGGAGGAGGTGAGGAATGGGAAAGTGGATGACCAGCCATCTGCACAGACAGAGGCCACTGGCCATCAGGAGGAGAAGGAGACATCCAATGAGTCCAGCACCGTCAGCATGACCCAGACTACTAAAGATAAGCCCACAGCAGAAATCTTGCCAGCAGGGCAAGGACAGAGTCCAGCCAACCCCCGGGTGAACACAACTTCCAAGTGGTCCAAGATTAAGATTGTCACCAAGCAGACTGGGTCTGAATGTGTCACCGCCATTGAGATTGTCCCAGCTAAGTCAGGTGCCTCTAACCACAACTCCCTGGCCAACAGCCGCCCAGTCAACGTTGCCAGGAAGTTTGCCAGCATTGCCAGAAGCCAAGTACGGAAGAAGCGCCAGATGGCTGCCCGAGAGAAGAAAGTCACCCGAACCATATTTGCCATCCTGCTGGCCTTCATACTCACATGGACGCCCTACAACGTGATGGTCCTCATTAACACTTTCTGTGAGACCTGCGTGCCCGAAACAGTGTGGTCCATCGGCTACTGGCTCTGCTATGTCAACAGCACCATCAACCCAGCCTGCTATGCCCTCTGCAACGCCACTTTCAAGAAAACCTTCAAGCACCTTCTCATGTGCCAGTACAGGAACATTGGCACAGCCAGATAAACTGGTACTCAGGGACCACTTCAGTAATATTATGGAAACCCTTCCCTTTGCCTCCTTCGCCAGCGGGGGTTCTTCTGCTCCCCACTCACAACAGTGCAGACTGTGCAGTGAGTGCAGATGATGCCCTTCATCCAACGCTGACAAAAATCCAAGGTGTCTCTGAGCTGCAGGTCCTTCCAGTCACCCTGGGCCTGGGGACTAGCTCGGGGGCCCACCGGGAAAGCCAGAGGCAAGAGGAGATGTGGTCACCAGGAGCCCTTCCCAGCTCCACGCTCTTGAGATTGGCCAAATGGCATCAGTGTTTTTCCTAAGACTGGATGTACCTTTTTCCCCAGCTGACCATCTCCAAGGTATCAGAGCTTGTCTGCATGCAGATGGGCTAATGCTGGATGCTTTCCATTGGCTTCTAAAGTGTTTATTACCCAAGAAATGAAAAGAAACCAGGGTCAAACATTTGCTAGGCATCTTGGACCAGGCTGGCTCAGGCATGCTAATGGGGAGTCCTGCTGGCCCAGCCAGGCCCCCTGCAAAGGCAGTCAAGATTGGACCCTAACAGATGTGGCAAGATGCTTCCTTTCCCTTGAGAGTGCCATTGGACATCCTCACCCAGGGACCTGGGGCAGAATTTTTCCCTGGGCTCTGGCTCTGCTCTCCCCTTCACACACTTTCTGCCCTCAGACAGTAATTTGCTGAAAGACAGACAAACCAAGCATTTCACTCCTGGGTGAGGCGTGTGAAACCCAGTCGCCTCTGACAACAATGGAAACTAAAACTGCAAAGAAAAGAAGTGGTGTGGTGCAGGACTTCGCTCCACAGCCCTGGGGGAATGGGGGCCCTGAGAAGTGGGCAACAGTGACTGTGAAAATAACTGTCCCTGGGAGGGACCGGGGGGAGCTGGGGGTCTCAGAAGAGGGTGGGAAGAGGGTCTGCAATGTGGCCAAGGTGCCCCGTGTCTCAGCTGGGCCATGAGCTCTCCCCACAGTGGGTGTAGGAGGCATGGCTCTGGAGGCAGAAGAGGATGATGGTGGCCTCCAGCCCCACTCCTGCCCTGAGTGCAGGGGGCTCCTCCAGGGAGGCCAAAGGAGCCAGTTGCTGAGCTTTGTAAATGGATGTAATGCTGTCATGGGTGTTGCGGCAGAGCCCTCAGCATGCGGGCTTCAGCCAGCGTCTCCAGCCTCCTCCCAGCCCACCCGTGTGTGCAACCCAGAGCACCCTGGCACAGCTCCCTAGCTTCTCCCAAAGCCAGGTGAAAGCCTTGGTGGACACAGCCAGGTGCAGGCAAGGGATGGGATGGGGCCACTCTAGTGCTGGCAAACTCTGTGTTCATATGTCCTTCCCGTCCTCATGCCAGGGTGCAACTTGCAGAAAGGCTGCCCCAACCTAGATGGGAACCCCTCCAACACTACCTTTAGGGGTACCCAAAATGCCTGGTGGGTTTCTGGGTATTTTTAAATGGTTACAACTGCAGCCCAACACACTCCAAGACAAATAAAGACCTTGGATCAGGAAACTAATGGCCATGGTGTGAGGAATGAATGAGTCATCACCCAAGTGGCTCCTTCCCTGCTTCCCAGTGTCACCCACTGGTGATATTTCCTGCAGTCCATCCCTTCTGCCAAGATTTCCAAGTGTTGTTGGAAAGAGGCTGTGAGGTCTAGTGCTTTGTTCAGGACCACGTGCATGTGGCATCCAGGCCACCACTACCAGCTGCATGGTAACTTCACTGCTGGTGCCAGTAGGGCACCACACCTGGGGTTTCCTGGGGCTTCCAACACAGCATTACCTTGTGGGGACAACAGGGGTGTTCTGATACTTTTTTTTAAAAGATTTTTTATTGGAAAAGAAAAAAAAATTCCAAAAGGAGAGCTCCCACCCATCACTGGTTTTGGCATGGCAAAGGCAGAGGGGCTTCAGCCCCAGCATGGACACACATGGTTAGAAGTGACAGAGAGGAGACAAAGTTGCTTCTCAGGGTGATGGTTGTGTTTTCCTCAACTGCTGCAGGTAAATCATGCCCCGGCTAAAGTTTATCCCATGCTGGAATAAACCCCCTGAGGTGAGAGTAGTCCTTGAGTGAGAAGCTTGAGTGATGGGGTTACTTAGTCATTCAACACCCAGCCCTTCCCTCTGGCACTGGTACCAGGTGGAGGAGCAAGGAGGCTCCAGGGCTTGCAAAAGGATGTGCCAAATGCAACTCATTTGTGCTGGAGGGTGGAAAAATGTGTGTTCCATCCCAGCTCTCTGAGCACATTCCAGGGAATCCCAACACCAGCCGAGAGGAGGCAGTGCCCATGGGACAGCAAGGGAGGAGGCAGCCTATCCTGCAGGGTGGGTGGGTTTGCTCTCTACAACACTAATGATTAAAACAAGGCATCTCAGTGAAAGGAGTAAGGAGAGGAGGAGGAAGACTGTAGTGTGGGCCAGCTGCAGCTGGACATCCAGTCCTGTAGGCACCATGTTGAGGATGCTGGCTTCCTGCTCTAGTCTTTCCCCTTGCCCTTCTTTGCTGCATTCAAGAAGCACAGGAGACAAGAGTTAGTAGTGCATCTGCTGGCAGCTCTCAGTTCCACAGACACTGCTGTGGTAGAAATGTAGCCAGCATGGCTGGCTGAGCACGGTGCAGTGGCTGCATCCCTGCAGGCAGCTTCCTGCCATGCCAAACCACATTTTGCACCAGTTCTGGTGTGAAGAGAGCAGGGAATCCCCATCCCACCAAAGATGGCAGTGGTTTGTGGGGGGCACTAGTGTTTTTCCTAGTAGCACCTGCATCTCCCCCAGCCAGCAGCTGGACTTCACAGTGCAAAGGAAAGAGCATCCTACAAAATCCCCCACACCACCAGCAAAGCCAACCCCAACAGGCCAAGGTACCTCTGAAAAACCCCTGCCCAAGGTTGCAATGGGACCCTTCTGGGGACCGGAGTGGTGGGTACTGACCTTTGGACTTTGACTTGATCTTGGAGGAGCAGGGCTTGGTCACATAGACAGTCTCCTCACACTGGGCATTGTACAGGGCTTTCTTCAGGATGCCAGAGCGAGTCTTCAGGCCTGTCTGAGCACTGCAGCCTCCCCAGCTCTCAAACTTGTACTTGCAGTCAGCTGGATGAAAGGGGAGAGACATCAGAACTAGCCAGGAGCTGGCAGGACACTAGCCCCCATCACCCAGCACAGGCTGGTCCCCAACCACCCCATCTCCATGTACCCACCTCCAAATTTCTTCTTCCAGTTGCAGGGGATCTTGCACTTGAGCTTCTTACTCTCATCTTTGCAAGTTCCCTCGCGGTAGCCCAGGCCACAGTCCTTACTGTTTGGAACACAAGGTCCCCAGCGCCAGTCCTCACACTTGGAGCCATCCTTCTTTGTCTTTTCTGTGCAGAAAAGTGGAGTGGGCACACTCTGCAGGGACAGGGGAGCGTGCCCCACTCTTCCCCCCGCCCCACTGTCCCCGGCTGCCCCTCACCTTTCTTGTTCTTGCCAGCCTCGGCAGCAGCAGCCACCAGGATCAGCGCCAGGAGGAGGAGGAGGCCCCGAACCTGCATCCTGCCTGTGGAGGAAGGAGAGGGTGAGGTGGGTTGCAGGTTGGGGTGCAGTGTGGTGTCGAGGAGGGGACGGTGGGCTGTGGGCAGCCTGTGTTGGGAGTAAGACAGCAGCTCACATTTCACACGCTCACCTACATGTGTGTGTACCCCACTGTGCCCTGCTTGTTGCCACCCAGTGGAATATGTTCACTAATTGCAACAAGAAGGTTAATTGTGTACCTCAACAACTGCCTCCCACTAGGGAGCTGCAGGGATGAGAGATTGTTCCTACCCCGGCAGCCCTCCTGTTGCTCTGCATGTGGTCAAAATGCTCTCCATGGGGACCCCACAGCCCACACAGCATCTGGGGAAGATCCTACAGTTGGCTGCCAGTTGCCAGTCCTCACTCCCATATTTCTCTGTGGATCCTTTATCCATGACCCAGTGGGCTGCTGCCCTATACTGAAGAGCCTTTGGCCAGGGAACACAGCTCCCATAGTACCTTACTCCAGGGTTCAAGAGGATGCCAGGGAGAAGGAAAAAAGCCCAGAAAAACAAATCTGCTTCCATGAGAGGTCTGAGAGTTAAATCCGTGGATTAAACACCAAAAAAAGAGCATCCACAGTGTGGGAGTTCATTGGAGGGATGGAGTGGGAGTGCTGAGCCCACTGCTCTCACCACCCATGCGTGCAGGGGGTAAGCAGATGTGCACACACCTGGGAGCAGGTTGGGGACAAGGGTGCACACACATTAAGGTTGGGCTCTGGGGATCATGCCCTTCCCCCTGCCCCAGTAGCCTTGGACCATGTGACAGCTCCCCTCTGGCTGCCACCATGAGACTCTGTGGGATGTGGCTGCCAACACTGGAGTCCCAGATCCTGCTTTCAGTGGGAACAGGAGTGCAGGCATACAGAGCCAGTGTTTCAAATCTGGAGACCCCTTTCCTGCTCCCCCAAAGCCCTTTAAGATGCCACCCATATCTGTGTGGCAGCAGCCATCCATAAAACACACGGCACCTGCCCCGGCTCTGTGATGGGCTTTGCAGAATTGGGCTGTAGAGGACAGGATGAACCGCAGGCCCCAGGGGACATCAGCACAGGGAAGAGCCCGGGGTCAGCATTTGCTCCCCGCCCTGGGCTCCCTGGGCATCGTGCCAGAGAGAGCAGCATCCCACATTATTCAGGCTCCAGTGCACTCACCTTTCATGCATCCGCCACCAAGCTGCCAGCTTTGCTCTGCATTGAACTGTCACAGGGAATTACACAGAATGGCTGGCTGAGGGCACAGTTGGGGTGAGATCTGCCTTCCCCCTCACCCAGCCCGGCTGGGAGCCATCCTGCCGAGCACAGCTCTGCTCTGTTCCCACCCATCTGCCCTCAAAGGGGACGAGGGCTCAGCCCAGATGGGATGGTTACAGATGACAAGGCTGGAGCTGAGTTGACTTACAGACGTGGCTGTCCCACTTTCTGCAGCAGCTCTTATGGTGTAGCACCTCTGACATCCACATTATTCACAGCATCTCCCTGGTTTCAGGTGTTCTGTAAACTCCCATCCTTTGCTGCAGAGCATTTCTCTGTGCTCCTTGCACCTACCTCCTAGCCCAGCACCTTCTGCTCAGACCCTTCTGACATTGTTTTCAAGCCCCCAGGGCAGACAGCCCCAGCTGATGTGCTCACTCCTGCCTCACCTCCAGGCACAGACTTCCTCTGTTTGCCATGGGTGCAGTGGGGGCCTGCCCATGTGTACACAGGGATGCTGGAAGGATGCCCTCTGAGGGGATGACCAGCTACAGCTCCAGGGACCCCTGAATTTGCTCCCAGGCTCGACCCAGCACATTGCATTCCCCAGACAAAGGTCTGCAAGGACCTTCAGTCACGGCTCATCCTAAAGCATTCTTAAGGAAAAGAGAGCGCAGTTTCCCAATCGGTTTTCCAAACAGCCAGGCAAACAAGGGCTGTTCCTGGCTGGGCTGACAGCACCTTCAGGCATGCTCACACAGCCCTACTCCTCCTGTGTCCCTGTGGGGCCCCGGTTTCTCTCCTCCTCAGATGCTGTCTGGTTCTCGTATAACATCAGTCCCTGTTCTCCCTTCCCCTCTCCTCTAGCTGCCTTGGGTTTCTATGATCTATGATCAGCTCTAAAAAGAAAAATAAAATCACCTGGTGAAGCTGAAGCAGAGCTCAAATACCCACTTATTGCAAAGGGAAAGCTTGGACCTCTCTCCAGACATCATTCTGACCCTGACTTCTATTGTGGGCCACACATCCTCCCCAGCTCCTGATCCCTCAGTGGTGTCCCCGTGTGCTCCCGGGAACGGAGCTGGCACCCCCGCACAGCCCCTTTTCCAGCAGTGGGACCTCTCGGCTCGCCTTTGCTCGGCTCGAATTGCAGCTGGCTCTGGCGGTGGTGGGCGCAGGACTGCTGTCCTCCCTCTGCGGGCTGAGCTGCTTCCCAGGCTCCGGGCAGGCAGCCCGGCTCTGGAGGAGCCAGCCCAGCGCTCGGGAAGCCCGTGGCCTGGAGTGCCAAGCGACAGCAGCAAGTTCCCTGCTGCCAGGAAAAGGGGACCGAGCAAGAGCCCGTGAGCCAAGGCGTCAGCACGGCCAGGAGGCTTTCCTAGAGGTGCTGAGGGAAGCAGAGCCGGGGGGCTGTGGGGCTTTCCAGCAGGCGGTCTCACCTTCCCCTCGCAGAGAGGAGAAAGTGCTCCAAGGGAAAAGGGTTCTGGCCCTGCACTGGGGACAGAGAGGGTGGAGCAGGCAGCCCTTCCACACCTCTGCCCTCCGCTCCCTCCTCGGGGTACATGCTGTGCCCTCAGCCCCGCAGAGCCTCTTTCCCTCTCCCTCCGGGGAGGCGGGCGCTGGTCGAGCCCCGCTCCGGGGCCGCTCCCCGGGCTCCGATCGGAGGATCTCCACCAGCCGAGCTCTCCCTGAGCCAGTGCGGGGTGCTTCCCCAGAGGGACAGGGGTAGGATACCGGGCCACTACCTCAACCCGTCTGCTCTCCGGGAGCCCTGACTCCCTACCAAACTCCATCCGTCTGCATCTCCCGGCTCCTCACAGGCGATCCCGCACCGGGGGGTCACCGCCCCCGGTCCTCCGGCCCTAGTCGCCCTTTTCTGCAGCTCCTTCCCGGCCAGAGCCTATCCCCCACCCCGGCAAAGCTCCTTCCCGCTCCGGGGAGCTCTCAGCTTGGATGAGTGCCGCCTCCCCGGGGAGATGCGGGCGGTCGCCGCTGGCCTGGCCCGGGGCGCCCATNTGGGCCCGGGGGGCGTCAGGTCCCGGGGGGCACGGCCCCTGTCCCTCGTCCCCTCTCAGCTTCCTGCTGTGCTCTCCAGCCCGCACCCGCGGTACGGGTTCAGCTGAGCAGGCACTCCATCAGCACCGAGAGGCCGAGGGGTGCACAGCTGAACAGCCGGGCAGGTCTCCCCTGGGCGCTGCTGCTCTGAGTTCCGCTGGCAGCTGGCCCCGGGGACACCCCCGGGCCGAGGAAAGGGAACCACCCTGTGTCTCCACCAGCTCCGCGGATGCCTCCTTCTCCATCAAGGCCACTGGCATCAATGGACCGACCTCTCACGATCTCTGCCCTTTTCACCCTTCTCGGCCTGCTCTGCTTCTCGTGGGGAGCTGGCAGGAAAGGGGTACTTCTCAGCACCCAGAGTAGCACATCACTTACATGCTGCCTCAAGTGTCCACCCGGTTCCATCCCTTGTGACCTGCCTGCCTGTTCCCAGCTCAGCCATGCTGCAGCCGTTCTCCTTGGACCAACTGCTAGTATCCAACTGCCGCTGGGGCATGAAAAGGACCTTGCAGATGTGACTGCTCCTTTTCCCCCATCCACCACCTTTTCTGGGGAGGTGAGCAAGGCAGCAGCCAAGCCAATTCCCTTTTGGAGTTAGCAGTGTCATGCTAGAAAAATGGGGTTGTGGTGGGGAATGGAGCCATTTCTCCACCATTTATCCTGGAAGAAGTCTGCTGACAGCAGGGTTGCCACAGGTAGGATTGCAGGGCAGGGGCAGGGCTGTTTTTTATGAGCTGCTTCAAAACCAGGAATCACTTTCCAAAAGATTGCCACATTTAATTGTAACTCTGCCAGCAGTTTCCTAAACATCTGTAAAGGTTTTGAGGAGAGCTGGTAAATGTGGGAACGTGTCATCTCCCCTTTCTGCTGCACACACAGCAACAGGCACTGTTCTGTCTGGTGAGGCATCTGGAGATGTCAGGCTGTACATTTGAGCCCAGGATGCAGAAATGGATCCTGATAGCCGGGCAGGTAACAAAGCCAAATAGCCTCTACCCATTGCTGGGCCTTTAAACTCAAGCTGAAGAAAGCTGCTGAGACAAACTTCAATGTAAAAAAGAAGGACCTAGGTGTACATCAGGTTTGCATGTCTGAATCACGGGACTGTGATGAGCAGACCAGGGCCTATAGAACTGTTAAAGAACTAGGTGTGGAGTGAGCACTACTGCTTCTCTTCAGCTGTTTCTGGTCAGGAGCTGAAGATCTCACTGGAGTCCCCAGGGCACAGCAGCCTAAGGTACGGTGAAGCCCGGTGCAAATTTTCACTCCTTCCAGGGAACCAGGAGACAAATACTAGCTGTGCAAGAGAGCAGAGATGCATTGGTGCACATCACGCTCAGCAGTGGCTGTGCCTGGTCCCTGGTCCCTGAGGGACATGGGGGAAATGGCTCCTTCCTCAGCTCAAACAAGCAGCAGAAGGCTGTGACTGCAGAAAGGGGCCTCATACTGAGGAAAGGAGGAAAAAAGAGGGAGTGTGACCAACCCAGGTGCATTTCCCTGCAATTAGTTAGCTTGAGCTTTTTACCTCCAAAAATGTCACAAGCTAATTCATGGCAAGCCAGCTCTGCATTTTCCATCTCTGGTCAAAGCCTGATCCTTGAGGAACTGGTAGTGGATGTTGCAGCAGAGCCAGTACAGGGACACAGCCATGCATGGCAGAGGAATGACCTTTTTCTTTTTGAGGTGTGTGGCAGGTAATCATTATCAGGGCCAACTGCTACCACCCCAGCTCTGCTTAGCTGGGGCTGAGCTTGCATGGCTTTCTCCAGCCTGCACCCATGCACTTGGTGCCTACACCTCCAGGTGTGCTTTGATCCCACAGGAGGGCAGACAGACCTCTTAACCTCCAGCACCTGACTGAAAAGGACAAAGACAGTATGCTGACATCCTTTGGGCAGAAGGGCAGGACTCTGCCCCAAAGGTATACTGCCCCTTTCCCAACACTCCTCATCAGAGTGATCACATAGTGGGACTGTTTTTCTTCCCCACTGTATATTTGACTCTGGGGCGGCTGGAAGACTCCAATTGCCATGGTTACTGACGGCCTCCCTGCTGAGATGCGGCCAAGCGCCAGCATGCCGGGGTCTGGGCACTGAAGCAGAGTGGGCCCCCTCCTCCCAGTTACACGTACACCTGGTCCTTGGGGAGGCCAGGACAATTCGGTGTGCCTTACACCTGCTACAGATCCTCACTGTTAGCTCTGGGCATTAGCTGAAGTTTGAAGACCATGAAAGAGAGGCATAGTGGAGGCGGAAGGGACAATGCCGACAGGGGAGGCTGCTTCTCCAGGCAGAGAGGGGCTGGCAGGAGCACCAGGCAGGCTGCCAAACTCCCTCTAGAAATCTGAGTTTAAGGTATGAGTGTAGCTCCTCATCACCCACTGGCTCCATCACCAGCATGCCATCGGCCACTGCAGTTACCTCCTTTTTCAAAGGAAACTCCACAGCAGAGAAATGTGTTGGCCACAGTCATCCTTATGAGTCAGAGGCTGGAAGCAGAAGTGTCCCTAATCCTCTGCTTTTGTAATTGGAGAGCGGTCCTTCCACCAGAGTGGCGGAGATAATCTTTGCCCTTAGTGCTCAGCACTGGAGGCAGAAGCCCAAGACTCCCTGCTGGAGTGGAAATGAATAGGAAGAGCCCCTGGCAGGCTCATCTCCTGCAGAGCAGCATGGCTGGGGGCAGCTCACCACAAAAAAAGGCCAACAAACATTTTGAAACCGGAGGCTGGATGCTGCTGTAGTATCCACTGACAGCTGTGGCAGCCAATGGGGCTACCTCCTTTGCCTCAAGGAAGAACAGCAGGCTGCTGACTCATTTCCAAGGCCTTTTGGATCACTTGAGAAGGCAGTACACTTTCTCCCTTTCCCAGATTACATGAGCATTGATGTACGACACAGAATAGAGAAGGTCCCTCAGGACAAAGACCCTGTATCTAGCAACAGTCCCAGAAGGATGCTGTGCTGGGAAGTGAACAAGGGTGTAGGCCAGGAGAGAACTCCCAAAAGTACCCCAAGTTTGGGCAAAGACAGAGGCCTTGGGATCCAATCTTGTTTGTGCCATGCAGGACATCTGTTGTGCAGTGCCTGCTGCAATCTTGCAGATGCAGCAGGAGACAGGAACTAAAACATCAATCTCTTTATTTCAATGGCAAGAAACAACAACATCCAAACAGTCAAAGTTGAAAAGCAATGGGAACACAGGCTCATGCCAGGCCCTGGGCCGGCTGGAGCCAACACCCTCACATAGTTACAAAAATACAGTCCTACAACGGCGTCTAAGAAACACAGACCCAGGTATTGCACAGAACCCCTGCCCTAAGGGGGCATGGCGATCAACACCCCCTCCTTCTCCACCAAAATATAAGCAGGCTTGGAATTGCACAGCAACTCTGCTCACAGGTGCATGGAGGGGCCAGGCAGGGAAGGGGACAGTGTGTCTCTCAACTACCTGTACAAAAACTGTAAGGGAGGAAGGGGAAAGCTGAGGCTCTAAATGCCTCTGGGCCAAGTTGGGCATCCTGTCTGGGGCAGCAGTGGTGTGGACCTCAGATGACAGTGCCTTGTCAGTGGCCTGCCAGCAGTGCTGATGAGAACTCCAGGAACTCCTGGCGTGCCCCAGCTGTCAATGCATTAGTATGCTATCATTATTATTTGCCAGTACTGCCACTGACTCCTGGCACCCTGCACTGCCCTGCACCTCTGTTCCTCAGTACAGAATCCCCCATCCTTCAAGGATGCCCCTGGGAAAAAAGTCTGAAGGGTATTCTGGTCCCCTACAGTATCCTCATACCCTTTTCTTGGTACTAGGAGGGATTCAAACAGTGCCTCCCAACGCTACCCAGTGGGCACAGCTGTGTGTGAGCGCAGAGGGACTGCACAGACCACACACGACAGCAGCAGGATCCTCTGCTGGAGCCAAGCTGCAAACAGCAACCCCCTTCACAACCACTGCCCATCCAAAAGTGCCAAGCAGGTCTGCTAGCCTCAGAGCCATCAGTTTTCCTTCTCTGTGGGCACCTCCTGGTCTCAGGGACTCAGATCTGCAAAAGCCTTGCTCAAGGCCTGGCTTGATGTCTCAGCATCGAGCACTCACAGATCAACAAGGGAGATGGATTGTGGTGCCTCATGCCCCATGGCAGGCGGTTGGTAAAATTCTATTCCACTGCAGGCATAACTCAGGGCGAGGAGCCCTGGTGGTTCCTATGAATCCAAATCCCTCTTTCTGCTAAAACTGGAAAGAATGAGCTCATGGTCAACCCAGGTGAGTTTTAACTCATCTGGGTGAGCTCTCAAGTTTTCCCTGCAAAGCCCTGTGCCCAGTTTGGGGAATAGCAGGAGTCAGACTAAGAGGATGCATGTTGCCAGCTTGGGGGGCAGGAGGGGATCCCTGAGAGCAGCACTGACCCCAGCACTGCCTGACCAGCCCCGTGCAAAGTCTAGCATTAAGGGGGAAACTGAAGCAGGGAGGGCAGCTGAATCCAAGTCAGTATTTGGGAAATATAATGGGCATCACTGCTGCCATTGCCCCAGTTGAGTGCAGCTCTTCACCATCCTGCAGTGGGCTCACAAAGAGATGCTCAGCTGGTGTGCAAACTGTTCTACCCAACCCCGTGGAGAGAAGTGTGGTGGGAGGGATTGGTAGCCTTCCTCCATGCCATCCCAGCCCTGAGTCAGACTGCTGGCTGAACACTAAAGGCCCATCAGGAGGGCACCTCTTGCCCTACTTCCAGCTGCACCAGGCCCAGATGCTCTGAGGAAAGAGTGGCTGCACAAGTGACTTCCCTCCTGCTGCAGAAGGCTCTGGGTAGGGCAACACACAGATGGGGTGCAGCCCCAGGAGGGAGGAGAAGGCAGGGCCAGTAAGTTGTGGCACTTCCTTTGGGCCAAAGTCTGCAGCTCACAGCCTCTGCAGTCTATCCATGCAGCTCCCACAGCTGTGCCAGACAGGAGAGGAGGAACAGGACACAAACCTAGCCAAGCACCTAAAAGAGGGGCACTGCCAGCAGAGAGAGAGGGGCTAAGCAATGATATCCCACAAGGATCATAGGTACGAGCCTGTGGAGGGGGCATTGGCATTACTCCCACGAACAAGGGTGACTGGGGGCTTCAGCCTGGCCTGCTCCAACATGGCTGGGGGATAGAGCCCACCTAGGGCAGGGAATGTGGTGAATGAGAGGTGAAGGGGTGGACACACAGAGAATCAGGCTTCAAGTCTGAAATATCCATTGTCCTCACAAACAGAGTCCCAGCCCAGCCTGGGGCAGAGCACTTCTGTATCCATCTCCAGGAACCAGGTTGGCATCTGGGTAGGGATGGGCCAGATACAGCTCTGCCAGTTGGCATTGTCCTCTTCTCATCCTGCGTGAGCTGGCTTGGGCTAAGGCACGCCAAGCACTACACAGCTGTCTCCTGGTCCTCCCGCTGGATCATCTGGTAGTGCTGTCGGTTCTCGAGGTAGGCAGCTAAGTCGGGGTCATTGGCTTTCTCAGCACGGTGCTTCG